ACAAATTTTGTCGCGATAATAGTATTTTTCACAGGTCATCTATCAATCGCATAATTAATATTTCATGCGCGCTTCCCTGATGTTTAGTTAATTAATAAATTAATTAAACGTTTGTTCTTTAAACAAAGATATAAATTTAATTTGCGATAATGTCATGTGAAAGCATTATAAATTGTTGCTTAGATACCTATGATACTTGTGTATAGCTTTATATTTTCTTTGTACAAAATAATTCTCACGCGCAAGAGGTAGTCATGCAGATCCAGAAGGATCTCATTAATCCAGTTTTCTTTTATACACGACGTATATAATCTTCGTCGCAAATTAAAGTACAGCTTAGAGAAGGTTGTTGGAGATTTGCCGCTACTTCGTGAAAGGTTCTAATAGAATGCCTTGTCATATTCTGCGGCCGTGTAATGAAACCTACAGATCTCCGTACAACATCGCCGAAATCATTTAATTAACGTGCTGTAAAGTGTGCCGTATAATTTCTCTCGCGTGCACCTCCAAACCGACAAGCGTAACTTATACCCTCTCGCGAATAGCGCGAGATAAGCTGGCTGTTTTTAATTAGTCCGTAGAATTAGAATGCTAATTCGGCCGTTTGGCGAAGCGACAAATCAAAAGTTTTCCTCGCGCAGCCTCGAATCCGAAGATATAATGATGAATCGCGCGAAAATATGAGGCTGCAATTATGAGAGGTGTCGACACAGGGGCAACTTGGAATCTCGCGTGCAAAGATACGAGCTCGACGCGGCTAAAATAAGCGACGTGAAAATTGCGGTGTGACCGGGGGAAAATTGCATTCCTTTGGTCTCAGGGTCCAGGGTCGAGTCGCGACCGCGATAGGGGATGGCAGGGAGAGCAAAACGCTCGATTACTTCTCGTTTCGGACGAAGAGGCGCTGTGGTTTTCGGTGTCGTTGAGTAAATTCACGCGGTCACTTTGGGGATGTGGATTAAGGATGTGTATTATAATAATTATACGGCGCGAAAGGGGAGGAAGAAAGATGGGGAGGAGGGGGAGAGGAGAATCGGCTAAATGCGAGGCGTGGTAATGGTGCCGCATTAGCCACCGACGTCCGAAAGCCCCCGAGTAGTACAGGACGAGAGGAAACGAACTTGCTTGAAATTAAAAGCATCTAAAAACGCTCTCTCGCTCCTCGGCGTAATGTAATTATTTCTAACGGCGTGTAATTACAGGTGCATTTACTTACACACAGATATCTACTTCGAAATGAAAGCTCGTTTACAATAATACCCACGATGCATAAAATTTTATTTCTATATTTAAAATTTGCAGGGAGAGGGAGAATACGTTGTAAAAAGTCCTTTCTCTATTGGAGTCCCTTTAGAAGTGACATGCATAATTTTAAAACTCAATTCCGTTGTTCGTTTTTGTCGTTTCCTCCTCGAAAAAATGTTTTCTTATCTCGTTCCGTTTATAAATTCTAATAAATTTTATAATAAATTTAATTTAGATAGAAATTGAATTCCTTATTTGTATCTAACATTTATATTTAATTTATAATTTGTAATTTTCAATAGGCAAAATAAACAAATAATTTTCCACTTGAAGATTTAAAAGAAAAGCTTATGGTAAAACTATTGATTGAAAGGATCAAAGAAGATCGATTTTATTCAAAATATCGAAATAAATATTAGATTGAAAGTCGATAGGAGAAAAAATTTTCATTCGTCGAAATAAAAATAAAATCTTGAATACTTGATTCAAATCCAATTCTATTATCATAATATAAAAATAATAATAATAATAATAATAATAATAATAATAATAATAATAATAATAATAATATAACATGTCATGTATTTTTATTAAATAATTATATAATATGATTATTATTAGTATTATTAATAAAAAATATGAGATTATAAGGCCTTTTTTCAGCACTCAATGACTTTTCTCATTTTCGTGCGGTCACGCGACAATTCCGTTCCTCACTTGAGTGTTTTCCACCGCCTCCGTTTCCACTGCCGTCAATTTGCGTAAGTGCAAGGGATCCCACGGTTCTTTACCCGATGCCCTTTGCCCTTCCTCGCGCAGCTGATGTTTTGTTCATTACCTAAGTAGCGGCCACGGGAATTTACGATTGTCCGACAGTGTATGCGGTCGATTGTCTGCGAATTACATACGCACCGGTCTCGGTCCGACCCCTCCCCTCAATCCTCGCCCCCTATGTAATACGCGTGTACCTGCCAAGGGATTCCATGATGTATGACGGTCCGGTCAAAGTTTGCGCCGAACGCTCGTTAGACAAGGAGCGAGGGGATGAAAGTTGCCCCCGGGATAACGCGGCAACTTTGCGGCGCGGGAGTTGTCGTCTCGAAATTTATCAGCCGAAACTTGATTCGCATTATCCATATATCTGTCATTGGACCGTACTGGGTAGACATTGCGATATACCACGCGCATAATTTATATTGACACTAAGAAGAAAAAAAAGGATTGAAAATTTCATTATAAATTTTTCTCCTCTATTCATTCAATTTCCATTTCCGAGATTTTTCAAGTCCATTATATTTCATAATCAGAACGTAATGAAAGGTTAAGATAGTGAAAAAGATAACGTATACCAAATTTTGAAATAAACAAAGAGAAAGATTTTAGAGGTTTATTTTAAGGAAATTTTATTTCTAGACGAAATTATCGAGATATAAAGAAGATGAAAAAGAGAAAGAGAAAGAAGAATCGCAAAGATTTTCAGTCAAATTGTCACTGAGAATAAAATTAACTTCAAATTCATGAAGAGCTCCTCGGATGATTCCTGACACATGATGTATAGTTAACCTAATGAAAGAATGAGTTTGAAAATCATCATTTAATTAGAAAGAAGAATTGATTGAAGAAGAACTGATTTATTTAGTTTCATGAAGACATGGAATAAAGAGAATAGAAATAGAGCGAGAAGGAAACTTCGATGATTTCGGTCAACCTAATATTTCCATCAGTCAGGAAGATATATCGTCCGGCTCTCGATTGGCGCTTAAATTCTGAATCGAAATTTTATTAATCGGTCCTTATCATTCGTCTGACAGCGCCAGGAATAATTGTCTTAACTCTCCAACCGCTCGAACTAAATTCATTCAACTGTGCTTAACGGAAAATAAAAGAAATCGATATCACACTATTCAGCTCGTAATTATCTTCAAATTTCACATTTTTTCTCATCCCATTTTTATTTCTCGAAATTACTTTCGATAAAAAACATTGAAATATTGGTTTTCATTCTATTTATCTCATAATAGACTCTTTTGTGTTCCGCACATATTTTACATAGATTTTGATTAACTTAAAATTTAATCAAAATCTACATAAAATATATGTATAGAAACTGAAGGAAGTTTCAGAAATGCTCATTTCTCGATCAGCACAGTTTTATAATAAGATACGCCGCGTTAATTCTTAACTTTAGTTTCTATTAAAAAATAATTTGCTCATTCTTTTTTGCGACAAACTTTTTTTCTATCATCTTAAAACAGCAATCTTGCTGAATTAAAATGAATTAATTAGTTGACACGATATTACTTTCCGTAGACATTAATTAAATATTTATTGATCTTGATGTCAAATAATCAAACTTTTATGGAGCCCTTCAGGGTTCCTTTAAGGTTTATCTTTGATGAATCTGAGATGTAAACTAAATTGTTGTTACGAAGCATATCCCAAAGAGACAGAATAATAGATAATACCGTTTGCATTGGAATCAAATAGAGGTTAAAATTATTGGCTTCTCCTCAATCGTGCAACGATGACCCTAGCGAAGATTATCGTGGCACTCATAATTATTTAATGGCTTGTATGAGAAAAATAAACCGTTATACACTATATGTGTGTTCGTATTATATTTATATGTATATCACACATCTGAAAATATTAGAAAGTCGTTCAACAATAACATTAAAAAGGATCACTTTAATTTTTCACGATGTATTATTTCGCAGGCTGAATAAAACGAAAATGATAATTTATGTAAGAATTTTAATTTTTAAGGTTCTTATTAATTAATAAGTTTACACGAATTAGATAAATGACCCTTGTGAATTATACTCTTACTTTACTTTCTCAATCTTGTATACGTATGGCACTTTAAAGCTCTTAAAACACTTAGCTCTATAAATCCGATTTTTCTTCAGATAATTTCGATTATATGTCAAATGTAATAAATATTTATTCAAAACTGTTATACATTTTATATATTATCGTGTTTATTAATATAAGTTAATTAGACATATAAAATATTAACGAAAATTTAATGTGCGCAATTTTATGCGAGTTTTTCAGAGCGTCACATACAGAAAACATAGGTTTTTCCATGAGATAAAATATTCGATTAAACGATGCAAAAATTTCGTGAAGAGAAATTTCTTTTAAACTTTACACTATATACATAATATAAACTGCAAAAAGTTACTTTTATATATACACAAGTTACTTTTCAGTAAAATTTTGTGTCGCTATTTCGTTCTATGAGAACGACATGAGAATTGCTAACAGATGTGTAGAAAGAGAAAATGTGTGACTATTAAGTTATATTAATAAGATATTCATGCGTTGAAATTATTAAAATTGTATGCGTATTTAAACATACGTATATATAAAGTACAAGTATCCATATCATCCATATCAATCTTTGAATTACTGATAAAGTTCTAAATTTTTTCGTAATTGCTTATATAATTACAATCGAGAAATTACAACGGAAATATTGTAAAAATATAACAATTTCAAGCATTTCGTCCAGTAATTGATACAGTGTGTTACGAATTATCGCCACATACGTCACTAAACATTTATCTGTTTGTATAAAAAAGTGAGATTTACACGTTTCTTCGATGTAACATTCAAGAATTATTTTTACACTCTTGAGCAATATTTTAGCCGTCAGAATACGCATAGATCGATATATATATATTTTTTTTTTTTTTTTAATAATCGCTCTCTATAATGTATACAAATTATTTTTCTAAACATTTTGCGTGTTATAAGTCTAAAATAAACACATATGATGTTATCTTAAAATTAAAATTGCTAAAGTAATTTTCTTTGACGATAGATTTGCTTAAATGTATTGCCGATAATGTCGGCAATAAATAAAAACGTAATTCAAGCGACAATTTTTATTTCACGTTCAATTCACATTTAAGCAACAATATTCTTTCAATCTATTTATAAATTCGGAATATTATATCATTACTGTTCTTACATATGTACGTCATGTAAAAAAGATACGTTTCAATTACGTTCTTATTTCTTCTTAATCGACATGCAATTGATAAATTTATGACAAATTTTTGCGATAACGTGCGCGCAGACGTTGCTTATTGTATAAATAAATTAGACTTAATCTTATAAGTATTTTTGTGTACATATATATGCTTCATACAATCGCATGCACTGGCTTTATGTATTTTGCTTGCCGCATCGATAATCTGTAACATAATTAGCAGATTAATTAGGGGCTGCAGTTTCGACTTTATTTATTCGAACGTGAAAAATTGTCTCGTCGCTTTTCTTACATGGATATATTTATATTTCATTGCGTAAACACATGTAAAATGAATCGATATTTCAAGGAATAATCGATTTTTCTCATCTTTATTTTGCTACAAAAATGTAGCATATTTTACTTATATTCAAATATATTTGTTAAATGGATGTTACATGGGTACACACACACATACACAGCTCTTTCGAATAAATATAATTTATGTGTAATTTATGCGTATACTTTTTAAAAACTGCGCAATCTGTGCATTATACACTGTGCTAAAATTTATGTTATAGCTTCTAAGTCGAAGAATTAGAGATCTCCAAACTGCTTGTTAGACTTTATGTAAATTTCCTGATAATATTTCGGCATTAAATAGAATTAGGAAGTTTCGGCGTTTGAATATATACGACTACTTCAATAAGCTTCCTCAGTTTATGTCTACATAATAAGGAATTAGCATAATGTGTCGTAAATGACATGAGTCATCAACTATAATAAATGCATGTTTCGCAACAAAATTCTAATGAAAGTTAACTCCATGAGTTTTGTTCTTACTCTAATCAATGCACAGTCAAAATGCGTATCCCGATTTTTGAGCCCGAGTTTCTCTCTTGAAACGTAATTTTTGGCAAAAAAAAACTTGTACAGGTTTGATGCGAGGTTGCTCTATTTGGTGAAAAATAACGCTCCAGTTAATTACCGCATCGTCTTTTTGCAGAGTCTTTTTTCTTAACTTGACTCGGAAAAAGCCCGGCGATCGAACAGCGAAAAAACACATCACGAGCCGCTCCTCTTCTCCATCGACCTAATGGACGTTTTTTAACTGATTGATGTGGATAAATAATGAAGCCTGCGGGCTACCGCGAGCTATTCCGTTATGTAAATTCGTCGGGCTGTGTAAAATAATTGAAACGCGCCAAACCGTACCGGAGGTATTGTATTCATGCGCGTGATCGGTCGTGCGCGAATATCCGCCTGGATCTAAATTAGAAATTTACGAAGGCAATGGCGCGGATAATTAGCACACATATATGGCAAACAGTACATATTACAGGCATTTTAATTAGCCCACGCATTACCGAAGACACCTCTCCGTCGCGACTGCTAACGCGACAGAGAGAAAGTAGAGAAACTAAAGAAAGAAAGAAAAAGCGAGGAGAGGATTTTTTTCATCTAGCGATGTAAATAACTCTCTTTTTTGCAACTGACTAATTAGCGAACAGTTCTATTGGCCGTGCAAAGACAGAAAGCGATCGCAATAATTAAGAGCGAAATTATGAGAATCGTGAAAGATATGCAACGCATAAGCGGAATATATTGCACAATTCTTTATTTTTTATCTGAGAATTTTAAAGTCGTGCCGGCGAATTTTTTCTTGATTTTTTTGTAAAATATATCGATAGGAAAATTAAAAATCTTTCTTTAAAAATCAAAGTTCGAAAATAATTTAAAATAATTTTTCAATGAGTTGGAATTTTGTAGATATTTGATTCAAGATACTCTCTAAAAGTAAATCAGTGTATTATCACTGTTTTACAGTGCTATACTTATAATAAATACTTAACTACTGTAATCAATGACTATTTATTGTTTTTCAGTGATAATACACTGATTCACTTTTAGTACGTTTTTGTTGTGTAGTATTCAAATTTTAGAATCAAAGTTATAATTTTAGCTTTTGCTTAAAATTTTTCGATTCAGCTATATTTGCGAGGTAATCATACGTTATTAAAATACTATCGAATGGGTTTGCGTGATTATACGTTATATATCTACATGGTTTTGATTTTAAGCCACAGGCAATACAAAACTGCGCTTTGTGTAAAATTGGTCATTGTAGTTGATCATAATGGCTTTCAACGGTTGTATTAAGCGCGACACAATGGAAATTTACTACAAAGCGTAAATCTACAGCTACAAAGGCTTTCATTAATTTAACGTATATAAAACGCGCGACGATTTCTACGAATCAGCTCCGTTAGAGACGCCATTGTTCCTTTATAATGCATGTAAACATAGATTATGCAATGTACAATAACTGACTAAAACACTTTTTAGTCGCCATATTTTTTCGTGTAAAGCGTGTGCATATGCGTGTAAAAGGACATTTTATTTGTTTTACAGTAAAATTTTTATCTCGATTTTTATCTCGATAAAAAACAATATATGCATTGAATAAATATATGCATGATTTTAATATATGTATACAGAAAGATACAAATTCTTAAAAATTATATCTATTTACGTATCTTTTTAGATCATAATTTTATTGATTAAAGAAAGAGAAATTTATTCCTCTCTGTATCTCATTCATCTCACACACATTTTTATTTAAAAACCTACTAAATTAAGAAAACTTCTAAATTACTTTAGAATTAATAAAACAATATGAAAAATATAGACTCTATGTAATAGTATTTTAAACATCATTTTTGAAATTTTTCTTTTTCATCAAAATTTATAATAATAAAAAGTAACGAAGAATCAGAGCATGACATTTAAAAATTAATCGATTTTCCAGTAACCGAGAGATTTCAGTTAAATCTATTTCATATTTAAAGTGAGAAATGTAATATGTACATTTTAAAAAAAATTTGAGATGTGAGAAATGTAATATGTACATTTAAAAAAAAAATTAAATTATATATTTAATATTTGGTAAAATTAAAATATTTGGAATTTTGGAAAATTTCATGATTAATTGATGCTTCCGAAAAAATATAATTATTTTTTTACTTTCTTTCTTTTTGAACTATATTCTAATGTCATAATATATCTTTGAATTATGTCAGTATTTATTCTCTGAAGATATGTCTTATTATAATAAAATCAAAATATGTGTTCAATTCATATCTAATATGCATTATAAGTATATACCTATTTGCAGCAACGATTCCCTAGCGAATCCCGCGCATCGCGGGACGATCTCACGTCCTGTTCCTCGTGATACAAGGTGCGCAAATGTACGCAAGGACGATGCCACCGCCGAAAACCAGGACGATCATAGCCAAGGTCGTCCATGTGGCCGATCTCGGGATGACGCGATTTTTAGCTATCAATCTCTTTATCGCCGATAATTCGGTAACTTCCTCGGTCGTCAGACCCCATCTTCTGGCCTTGGCAATCAGGGATCTCAGACGACGCGACGCCTTCTCGCAGGACTTCTTAGACGTCCGCCTGGATAAACCGTTCTCTAAACAGTTCTCGAAGTGTCCCATAATATTGCCACGTGTCTCATTCTTAAGTTAATTCAAGCGTCGCGACAAGTTCCGGACGTCGAAACGAAGAGCGCTAAAAAGTTTGGAACTACGATGTAAACAAATTCTATCTATTGCCAAATGCCAGATCATGATCTGCGCCGTTTTTAAGTCGAGAGAGATACTTTTCAAAGTTTGAACAGTTCTCTCGATACAATCCCGTTCCGAGCTCCTTCTGACGAATCAGCATTGTCGCATTCCTATGACGATTGCTGGTATCATTCTCTTTCCAGTCGGACTCGCTAATCATTATGGAAATTTTTGTAGCTTTATCTTCAACAACATATTTTAATCATGCAATTTTCTTGGCAATTGTATTCGTCATTTTTTAAATCAGATCGTTGCTTTTGCAAGTAGGAAATGTTTTCATGAGAATGCATTTAGCACCTGGCGTGGTGTCTTCGTTGTCTAATGATAATTGGTTCGAATTCTTTGATAAGGAACAACGCAGCCCAAATAATCATTTAAAATTACGGAGATCAATCATTGCGGTATCTAAAAGTAAAGGGCGAAATGTTAACTTTATTTACTCACTTTTATATAAAAGACCATTTAATCGAGATTTAATTATAACAAGCAATATCAAATTCTAAACATACGCAATGTTTTCTCCTTTATAAAAATCTCAAATAAATATAAACAAAAGTTCTGTCAAATAATTAAATTATTGGAACTGCAAATGTCATAATGTGAAATGAAATAATATAATTATATAATTAAATTATTATTTGCAATTATATACAAATTGCTACAATGACAGTTTTGCATATAATGCTATTCACGTTGTTGTATCCGGAGAGACGAGTTCTTCCGTGTCTTTTTATCTCGCATTGCGCAATTGAATAACACAGCCATTAATTTGCACGTCGATTCGAGCCGATCGGCATGTCGATGAAACAGTCGGGATCGCTTTTAATTCTCTTTCGCACGACCGAGGAAATTGTAATTGCCCGACTCTATGAATAATGCAGCACGAATTCGAGAGAGAAGCGAATCGGGCTTCCCTCGACTTCCGCAAGAGAAAGGCGAGCCCGGGTGAAAAGTTTCCGTTTTGCGGAGGCCCGCAGAAATGAATTAAGTTTCGCTTTTAAAGTCGGTCGCAGGATTACATCGTCGTTCTTAGTCGTGTGAAATAAACCGCTCATTACGTTTTTCCATCGCACGTTTAGGCCAATCTTAAATTAGTCTATTTTGCATGAAAAAACACCGACAAGACGCTCGAAAATTTGCAATAAAGCGAATTTGTCTGCCGCGAATGTTACGTTTGGCAAATATTCATTTCTCGTTCTTGCTGACGTACGAGAAAAGTTCTCCCATGCCCGTAAATTTTTCTCGCTTGGCGTTAACCTGGATTCCTTGAAACCTACGTGTATTATTTGTGTTAAACAAGTTGTGCGAAAACAGTGAAAATAGATAATTACGTGATCATTATTTATCATGTACGTTTAGTTGAACGATTAAGAGGATAATTAAGATAAGATGTTATAATTTTCTTGATTATTTTTTACTCATTAATTAATCTTTTTGACGAATAATAAAATTAAGATGTATTATAAGAAATAATTTGAGTAGACCATTTTTCCTTGACACTCGAATTTATAAAACTCGTAATAAGAAATACATCGACTATTATTTTACCATTCACAATTCAAAGAATTCTTGTTATAGTTTTGTTTGCAATGAAAACGAATTGAAATTCAAATACATTTATAACTTTAATTGAAAATTTCGTTAATTTCTCATCATTTAGAATAGGCTATGTTTTTTTAATATCTTTATTATATATATATATATATATATATATATATATATATTCATATAAAAGGGATTTTTAATTTTCGCAATTTAAATTTTCAACTCATTTTTCGGTATATTTTTGAAGAGTGATTTTTTTCGCGTTTTCTTCCAAGAGATGCATCGATTATCTCGCTCGCGTAGCACATACGATGACAATTAAGAAGAATCAAAAACCATATCAATTCGGAAGAATCAAAATCATATCAAAAATATAATAAAAATCATCTTGTTGCAGATTTCGTCAGCTTTCATGATAAGATTCTATTCGGACCATTATGCTTCGGAGAAGCTAATTAAGTGCAAATCCACACTAATAAATGAATGACTTGAGTTTTGCGACAAAGTCTATTTATATGTCTATTTTATCCTTTGTTTAGGTTCATTTTATATGGTCTGGAAATAATACTATTTAATGTTGCGCGAGGGCTTATCGCGGTTCCGCTCCCGACACTCGGATTATTAATAAACTTTCAGCTTCCGTTTTTTGGTTCATACCAAGTTACTTGTATTATAAATTGTACATTCTAATTTGGAATTATCATTTTACATGTAGAAGAGTTGTTTTTTGTGTCACTTACAAAAATTAAACCTGACAAAGGCGTAATGCATTTCGGAATTATTTTATTTATAAATTTAAACGATGAAAAATTATTATATATGATTGAAAAAACGCGTGGAATTATATTTTATATTATATATCTCGAATTAATTTCTCTAATTTCATTTTCAATTATACTTTATATCACATGCAGAGTATTACGGTTAAATTTGAAAAATGTCTGAATTCATTTAAAGTGTGCATTTATTTTTAATACTTTTTATAAAAAAGAAATTTATAGATATTATAAAATATATTATTATATTATTATTATTTATAGCAATTTTAGCACATGTTATTGAAATGCTTATTGAAAATTTTCATATTTATATTATTTCTCCCTTTTAAAAGTATATAATTTAGAAACCTTAAGTTAACCTCATATAAAATAATTAACCTCATTTAATTAATTGTGATGTTTTTTTTAGAAAGGTATTAGTTATTATTTCGATGATTATTCTCACAACTTTTTCCTTACTATTTTAACGATGTATCCAATAAAAGGTTCGTTCAACTCAAATATTAATTGTGCCAGCTAATCTCGTTGCGACTACATTATATAGAATGTTTAACAAGACTCTCGAGAAGAATACTGCGAAATAAAGCTATTGCGAGAACTTTTTCGATAACTATGTTAATCAGAAATATCTAAATTAATTCTTTTCTCGTCTTCCGCAAAACTAAATTAATCTTTTATATACAAAAAAAATAATAAAAGTTCGGAAAAAAGTTACATAAAAATTACATATTTCTAATTATATTTTATTGACATAATTAAAGTCAACTTAATTTTCTACTTGAAAGTAGCAAATAAATTTGTTGTAATTTATTAAACAAAATCTAACGTAAAGTACAGAAAATTATTTGTAATTAAAAATAAGTGTTAAAAAGAAATTATTTCGAAAAATTTCTTATATTAAATCTTATTTTGCGATCTTTGAATAATTATAATCAAGAATATTTTAATATTTTTAAATGATTATATATTTTTGAATAACAATCATACTTGTGTATCATTTTGAATAACAATCATACTTGTGTATTTCATGTTGTTTCACGTATGCTTTTTGACGGATCGCTTGTCATAAAAAAATCTCATTTTAAGAAAGAATTAATAAACTTGTAATGTATAACATACCTCTCTCTCTTTTACACTTATAACAATCTATTGCCAGCGATTGCCACTGACAATTACACTTGTCATGGATATAAAGTCAAACGTCAACATTAATCAGCACATAATTTCCAAACATATGATCTATTTATTTGCTATTTTATTGTACACTGATGAGAAAAATCGCATCAATTGTTGAATCGTTTAATTACCAAACAGGTAATTAATCGAGAGATGAGCTAAATAAAATATTTTTTTGGAAAAAAAAAGATACTTTCAAATTCAGCAAAGTTCTTTTACCTATTTTTATTTCCGACTATAAAATTGCGTTTGCGTATCAATTAGTTTAACATTTCGGCTCTATTGCTCTTCAATCCTTTTATTATATCTTATATCTTTTAATATTCACGAATGTCGAGAGCACGTTTGCGATTCAGTAGCCACGTGACACGAGTTTTCACGTGCGGACGCCGTATGCCACGTCCTCGACGGACATCGCGGCGCTTACTGCCGTGGCGTCGAATATCCGCGACCCTTTATGCGGCAATACCAACCACCCCCGGTCACCCGAAGCACCCTTCCGCCCGATTCTCCTCATCCAGCTGCGGCGACGCGATGCGAACCGCTATCGAGACTGTACGTGGAACGATCTTAACGCAGTTACGTTTACAGAGCGCGATATCATGTGTTGGCACAGCCAAAATTAAGACCGATATTAACTCTTTGATCCATCCTTGCTACGCTGCGCGACGATTCATCGACTTACGAACTTGGGATACGAATGTGAGATATTAGAAAGTTTTTATTTTTTACTTTTGCACAACGCCAATTTACAGCAAATATATTCTTTTAATTCTCTGTAATTTTTTGACACCAGTTTAATTTTATTTTTTTTATAAAAAAACAGTATATATATTTAATTCCGTAAGATATACTTTGTAGATTGTGAAGATTTGTGATATGTATTTATATTTTTTTAAATATATAATTATTATATACAAATTACATATAACAAAATGAGAAATGTATTAATAATATTTAAATTTACATATATATTTGAATTTATTATCCCCGCTATTTTTAATTCCTCTTAAGAACCCTTATTACATCAAAAGGGGAATATAATGAAATGACAACGCAAAACTAATTGCATCGTGAATTATTATTTAGAGCGAAATAATTACATAGTACGTATTTGTACACCGGACTGTTCAGTCACTCAATACAATTTTAACGAGATTCTATCGAGTTCGCATCGATCTGTCGCATTCGCAATATCATTAATGGTGGTCGGCGAAATTGTATGGAATTACTGCGCATCATCACCGTGATTATTTTGTTTCTCCAACCAATTTTCCCTCCTCCCGGGGATATAATCTTGCGTTCTCAATGTGCATCTCTGTGTGCAAGACCCGTATTAATCAAACAAAATTGTATCACACTATGCGATTGTAACAAGCGCGCATCGCTTGTTATTAATCAGCCGCTCATACGTAATTATTTGCCCGCAGCACTCAAGATGAATCTGCTGTGAATAATAATACTACAGATCGCAATATATTTTTTTTCTATTATCTAATTTGTCAACTTTAATCCTAGCGGCAAAACAGTACAGAAAAGAAATAAAATATGAAAAACCATTCATACAATTTTCCTCTGATCTGGGAACTTCGTATAGTTTTTTTAAAAGCAATTGAGCACTCAATCTAAATCTATATATTATATAGTTATGAATCTCTGTACAAATTTGTATAAATCTTGTAATGCGCGAATAGAGTGAGAGAACGTGAATGAGGAAAATTTAAAAGCGTGTTTACACCATATACATCATTCCGAGGACATCGAAATTTTTATCATCTTCTTAAGCACTGATAAACCTCAAACGAAATTCCGGCCGAGATCTGCATCTATTTGCGCACAATCATTAATAAGAGAGAATGGAATTGTCTGTTGTTGTTACTTGTTGCCAAAGCCAAAGTACATGTTACGTTACGCAAGAGAGAACAAAGCCTCCCGTCCGCTCGTAGCATTCCTATAATTTCTGAACAGCGTTACATACACATAACTCTCCAAGAAATGCGTCGATATATATAGTTGAATGAATATATAGTTGAAATAACAAGTAAACACATGACAAAATGTATTTGTCAATTATGAATAAAGATTTTAAAATTAAATAGAAGATATAAATGAAACTCTAAAATACTCTCTTAAATAGAAAATATAAGGAGACTCTAGTTTTTGCCAAATCTATAGATAAATACAAAATTGTTTTTTTGCAAAAAAAAATAATTTTATTTATGGCACATATTTTTGTCACATTAATTTCTATCTATATATACAATTAGCCATCAAATTGCAAATTAAAATTTTAGCATAAACTAATATAATGGCTATATCTTATCCACTTTTTACTTGCAGCTTCTCGTTCAATGAGATTGTGTTGCAGATCTTAGATTTTATGAGCAAATATTACATTTATTATTATTATTAAATAATGAAAAATAATATTATATTATAAATGCATTATATTGCATTATCTTTTATTTTAAAGTTATGATTTCAATAATCAGTTATAAAAAGTCACGTTTATTAATTAAAAGAAATATTATAATTAAAAAGTTATAAAAATTTGTGGTTATATATATTTATATATTACCACTATGTTATATTAATTCTGTTTTCTTTTTGTTTTCAGAATAAATGAGTTTTATTTTTATGCAAAGATATGCGGGAATATATTTAAGAAATTGACTTTGCATCTCCGAGATCAATAAAAGTTTCTGTCGTGAGCCATGATTGTCAAATTACGGACGATTGACGTCGCGAATTTATACTATCATAATTCTCATTGAAAACTTTACAATATATGAGAGCGACCGCTTTCTCGTTGGAAAAATTCCGGGACAGTACGTGCTCATTCTATCATCCTAGTTTGGGCTCGGAAAGTATCTGTTCTATCAAGAGAACATTCGCTGGCACAAAGTATAAGCGCGTCCCTTAGGCAGGATCGCTCCCGTTCGGCGTTTACACCTCGCGTAAATCTCGCTTTTACGGTCGCCGTAAACTCGCCCGGATTCTTCGGGATACGCAGATAGCCCGAGTCGTCTTTAAAGCCGCCAAAGACGACGCGACGTCGACATTCGGGAGATCGGAGCCGACCCGGGATCGTCCGGCGAACGTATAATTTCGCGGGACACTTCGAGCGGTTTAGTGGCGATAGGGTGCAAATAGCATGGCTATCGTGTAAATTCCGTGATTTACACGAAATGGAGCTGGAAATGAAGGCGGGCACGCGCGCACAATGAAATGGCTCCATTACGCTGAAAAAGGATAACGGATTCGAGAGAATCTTTCATTTCCTTGCGCTGTTCCTTAAGTCGAAAGAATTGATCGAGATACGATTTTGCAATAATGGATCCAAATTAAGTCTGCATCAGCAATCGCAACTTTTTACTTCCCTCCTCCTCCCCGGTCTCTTTCTCTAGATTGTAATCTTATCTGTAATACGAAGAGAGAAAACAAGGGGAAAGAAAATTTATTCCTACATTAACTACAAATGACTTTAGTTCCATGAGGTCCGAGAAAGTTTTGTAGACATTAATCATCCGCAATTGTATTTTTAATGCGATTGATTAGCACCCAAGTACAAGAAAAATGAGCGAAATATAGTTCAGTTTTGTAAACTACAATCGAGAAACATTATTTCTCAATTGTATCCCCGCGGAGAATAGAGACATATCGTTTATCATCCATCAATCATTGATTTTCCTTTCGCGATATTACAAATAATACCAAAGTAAACTCCACAATGTTTGTGAAGATAACATGCGGACAATACCTTTCTTTCCCTTTCTCTAATGCGTATAAAATAATCGTCATTTTTTTATAACAAACTTTGTTGAAATTACATAATGTAATTTTAATTTTAAAATGTACATCTCTCACATAATGTAAGCGCCTGAAAAACTCGGCCAAACATATTGAACATTTTTTTGCATAATTATACTTTAATTACCAGTTTCACTTAAAAAAATTAAAAAAATATATATAATATAACAAATATATGTAACAATTACCTTATATCGAAAAACATAAAACAATTATTGTCCATATTTATTCTTTTATAATATAATAATAATAAAGAGAGGGAAATCTCGATATTATACGTATAATGCATTCGATATCTAATATCAATTAAAGTTTCTAATAAATGAGCAAGCATTTATTGAAACAAGTGGTGGATACAGAATTTATGGTATTATAACTTTCGCAATTAAAGGATTAAATACCGTTACTTCTGCTCGTAAAAGTTATCTCGTTAGCATGACTGTCCAGATGAGCGAAAGTATTGCAAAAAGTTCGCGAAACAGTTGAGTTCGCTGATATCCCTCATTATTTCAATGCACTAAGTGAAGCTTATATAGCCAAATATATTATATATAAGATCGCGATATAATGATAGATTTCGTAAAAACATGAACACAGCGCAACACACGCTTGAAAACTTTTTATCAATATAGTTCTTTCCAATAATGCTAGAAAAAAAGCGTATAATTTAATGATCGGAGAAGTATTTTAATTACAATGCTTTTTTCCGCACCATTTCCTGTGGAAGTCAGATAAAATGGTCGTAGATTATTATTAACAAAAAATGTAAAATATTTCGAATAAATTTAAAATAATTTCAAATGAAATAATGCAAATATATGTATACCTATTGTTATTTATTTCCTATCCTATTATTTATATTAACGAAATTTAAAAATTAATTTCAAAGGAATAAATCTTGATATATTTTGAAAAAATCACAAGAAATTATTATTATAAAGAAAACAAATTTGTAGAGATATCCTTTTTATTTCGAAAGTAATAAATATAAAGAGAGTATATCTCATATTTTTATTAATGTAGCTAGATATGGGAATAAAATTGCGTTAATATCGATTAAGATTATGGATAAAAGTTGCTTCTATCTCATGTAATTATTGATGCATTGTTTCCCTTTAAATATGCATGACGTGCGATTTTGTTTAATACTTTCCGCCAAAATTCAACTCTTCGATTTATGGTAAAATTTTGATATTGAATTGATATTAAAAAGAATGTATGTAATATGTTGATCTTTTTATCATTATTATAATGCATGTTATAAAAGTATAATTGTAACAATATTTATTTTATGTTTTCCGGTGCTTTGTTTTTATTTGATTAAGAATGTGATATCATTAATTCTATCTCTGTTATAATCTCAATATGCTATAACTTTGGATTTATTTTCAAAAGAAAAGAAACAAAAATGTGATCGAAACAAAAATGCGATCGAAATTTATCAACAAGGGGCTCATGTGGAATTAGGAATTTAGGATAAACTATTGTAGCAAATTTTTCTATAAAAATATGAATAATTCTAACGTTTTTATCAAAACATATCTCGTATTAATCAAAAGGTTTTAACAAGAAAAATTTTTGCTGAAAATTGATTTATTAA